GAGAGAAGGGGGAGATAAAGAAGAGGAACAAAGAGGGAGATAGAGATAAGGAGGGAATAGGAGGAGACGAATTGAAGCTAGTCGGAGAGAAGGGGGAGATAAAGAAGAGGAACAAAGAGGGAGATAGAGATAAGGACGAAATGAGAGGAGACGTGCAACAGAAAGGGAGAGAGAGATAAAGATGGAAGAGGGAGGAGACGTGGGAGAGAGAGAGAGCAGAGTGTGTTTGGACGGGAAACAAATTACTCTCAACCGTTAGATATTTATTAGGATTGATCTAAACCATTCAAATGAAGTGTATATCTGATACATTTTATATATTTTCAAAAACCGTTGTGTCTTATTATATAGATTATGTTTATGTTTTAAAAAAATAAATAGTTAATATGATTTTGATAATTTTTTTAAAAAGTGGAGTTTGATCATGAGTCTATATTTATTCCATTAACTTGATTTTTTATGCAAATGATGTACTCAACGAATCCTATAATATAAATCATTCAATTCATGAAAATATGATCCGAAACACTAACACCCATCCCAAATCCACACCTAGAAACCAATATATATCTATGTATAACACATTTAATTATCTAATACACACAAATCCAAAAAGAAACTAGTATTCCTCAATTATCAAACACATAGACAAATATAACTCCGAAGGCAAAGCATATCAGCATAGGAAATTACAAAAGAGAACAATGTTTTGACATTGACAAATGTTTGCATTTGGAAATGCAAGATCATGCTTTATTCAAAACTACTTTTTGGTTTTTGTTTGTTTGTTTGTTTGTTTTTTGGTTTTAGTTTTTCCTTTTTATTATCTATGATGACCGGGTGTATTATTCGCTCCGTTCTCCTTTTACTTTTCTTGGGTTTTGAAGTGTTCGAAAGTTTTATTCTCAAATAAATTCTTGTTCTTGTTTATTCGGTGATGAATTTCACTTGTTTTGGGGGGGTGCACGGCTGAGTACTGAGCGCTTGGAAGCGAACCAGAAATTTTTGGGCTACTAGGCCAGGGCTGCACGTGCGGGGAAGAGTGAGTTTTTGGAGGGTTCACACTGCCTAAAATGTAGGTGCAGAAGGGGAGGTGTAGAGGGAGCCGCACGTGCGGGGATCAGAGTTGCACGTGCGGGGCCAAGTGTTGCACGTGCAGTCGGGCCTGAGTCCCGGGGCTTTATTTTTCTCCTCTTTTTTGGCTGTGTATCACTTTTCATATATCTCCCTCTCTCTAAAACCATATTGCTCTCCTTGTTGGATTAACCATCTATCAATTGCTAATCTTTTAGTCATTGTTCATGGTTGGTTTAGTGTATTTCTACTGGGCTGTGGCTCACCCTATATGGGAATATCATTTTCAAGTACAGGTAGCATGCCACCTCCAAGGACATAGCTTGGGAGGCTAGAGGCGGACATACTTTTGTCGTTTTATTTTTGATGTATTACATGTAAATTCAAGCCAAGGGCTTAATGTGTAAGCGAGTTAGTACTCTCTTGTTGTAACCAAGTGTTAACTTGGAAAGCTGTAAGCCTTTAGGGCATTTGCTTTTATTGTTAACATGTAATACTTTTTGTAATGAAACCTTGATAAATGGAAGAATGCGGAACTTTTACATATCAATGAATGTCTTATTTTATGGGTTTAATGTTATTATTTTGAGGGCGTTACATATTGCGTATGATAACACTCTGTATCGTGGTTCAGTTGTAAGCAATGAAGAAGAAGTCCCCAAGCGTTTTCGTGCCAACCAAAAGCCCATAATTGAACTCAACAAGCACTTAGCCTCTGACCCCCGAATCGAAATCACTCAGATTTCCATTGGTGATGGTGTCACACTATGCAGGCGCATACTCCAAATCATATCGTATCGTATCATATCATATGAGCTTGACTAAATTTGTAATAATAATCATGTTACCGTGGATTTCAAGTCGTTTATTTTCAAGGATGATCCGTTTATAATGTTGTTATCTTATTTGTATCTGAAGTTCTCTATGCTTTTTGTGTTGAAAAAATAACAATGGCAACCTTGTAGTTGCAAAAGTATTTGAGACTCCACTTTTGCAGCTGAGTCATTTATTCGTAATGTATTTCGTGGTACCACTTGTGGATTGGTTTGAACCTTCAAACTCTCTTCTTGAAGGTGTGCTTAGATCTTAAAATTTGAAAAAATATATATATATTTGTGGGTGTAACAAAAAATAATGCACCTCAGAGCTGACTTTGAATGAACTTTCACCAAACATTTTGGCAGTGGAATTATTGATGAATTGTTTGAACATACTCTAAATAAATTTGTGGAGTTGTCCTCCCAGTCTGAATCAAGCAACATGCAAGGAAGCCTACTATTTTTGTCTTTGAAGCGCAAATGATTCAAGTTCAAGTGATCTTGGTCTCCTCCTCAGGTGGCGTGACGTGGTTGGCCAAGCAGTTCTAGTAAAACAAATGGATTGGATCAAAATCCATCGCTTCGAAGTGGACCCAATTGGATTTTGGGTGGATTTACTTGTTAACGAGTCTAAATTAGTTATTTCCATATTTTGTTTGAATTTTCCATTTTTATTAGTTTTGTTATTTCCTTTATTTTGTAATGTCAGCAATGAATTGTCTAGTCTGGTTGTTCCTAGTCGGGTAAGGTTTGCTTTTTATTATAAATAACAATTATAAGCCTAAGGGCTAATTTGTTTTGAGAATTAACATAAATTCAAGTTGTTGGGTACTCTTTCAACTTAAATGCCAAAGCCCATTTGGCTACTCTTTTTCCTTGTCAAAAACCAACTTTTTAAAGCCAAAAATCATTACAAAAGTCAAAAATATGTCAAACTAACTTTCTAAAGCACTAGTTTACTTG